GTGCTTTGGCAACATAAATTTTGCGAAATATTTTGAAATATTGGAGGAAGGACTCTTGCCACTTCATTCCTCGGGTTTCGTGGACAAGAACATAACGTTGTTCCAGGAAGATGGAGCACCGTGTCACACTGCTAGAAACACCCAAAAGTGGCAGAAAGAAAATGGTATCCAGAAGTTGCCCTGGCCGAGCCAGTCTCCTGACATGAACCCCATCGAAAACCTCTGGGCCATACTCGACCGGCAAGTCAAGAAACAACCAAAAAACCAACTTCGAAGAGCAATCTACTCCAAGTTTTGAAGCAAGAGTGGGCAAAAATCCCACAATCTAAAATTGACAAGGATCAACAAACTCCACGAAGTGAAAGGATCTACTAGATATTAATTAAATTATAAATATATCAATTCATGTGAATATGACTGAAAAATTTCATTTTTTCTGAAAAGGTGGTGTCTATTTACGCTGTGTATCTATTTCAAATGCAAAATTACAAAATAGGAGAGAAGTGGGGATTAGCTATCTTCCTAACTTGCGGCATATATCCTAATTGTTTATGTAATTCCTCAACATCAGGCTAAACCAAAAATGTAAGCTGAGGGTCGGTTATTATGAGAAATGTTTCTGAAATACAATTAAATTGTGCCATTGAAATAAAAGTTATAATTTTCCTGTACTGAAAATGTATTTCTGATAGGTACTTCTCTCTACTCACAAGATTATTCTCATCCAATCCTGCCCTCTATACGCAAATTGTTTCTTTATACATGCCACAAGCCTTCTGCTCTTCTTTAATGGAATTGAATGATCTCAACATGTCTCTCATGTGAATCATCATGCATCACTTCTCCACCAATAGAAGTGTGATACACTCACATGATGCATGTGACTCCCTCTATATGCCTCTACAAACTATCACCTCGAGCTTTAGCAGAAGACGTAAGCAGTAAGCACCGGAGGCAAGTGGGGAGGAAGGGTGGGAAGTGTGAGAAGAGGGAAGTACCCTATCGGAAATACATTTTGACTATAGGAAAATTATAACTTCCGATATGGTACTTCCTTCTTCTCACAAGATTAGCTAGAATCCCACACTGAATAGGAAGAGGGCCTGGTGCAAGGGAATGATAAAAGTACCTCCTGAAAGCATCTGAAGGATACTCCTGGAAATGAAAGAGTCAGATCTGATGAGGGGAACTGCACCACTTCTGAACTAGGTATACTCTTTGCCCATCTGTGAAATGTGTAGTAGATAACGGCAGAAAAAAGATACAAGCACATCTAAGTAGGAGAGAATTTTAGCAGGATAGTGAACCTAACCATGTAAATATGTATGCAACTCAACCCCACAAAGAATAAATGTGGAGAAAACAATGAATGTGCCATTAGGTGTAAAGTGGCTAGTGTGCTACAGATAGTACCCAGTTAGTCAACTACATCCAAAACCCATGCCACTGGGAACTGACATCCACATGGTGGTAGGATGAGGATCATACCATCTTCACCTTAATTCAACAGACCAGAGGTAATCTAGAACCACTCCGACTCCTGAGCATGACACGTGTTAGCTTTTATCTATCGATCCAGGAACCCAACATCCAGTATATTATTTCTATATAATAAAAATCAACTCCCCCAACAGCAAAACTGACCAGAACCATCTGAGAAGCAACAACATCCTTGGAATAAGATACAAGGAGGGATAGCAAAAAGGAATGAACCAGAACAATCCACCTTACCTCCACTGTGACCCATAACACAGAAGGAGTATGATCGAGGGAGGAATACAAACAACCATAAACATGTATGAGGACTTATGTTGATTGGTTCTACTCTAAATCCCAAAGGATAAGGGCTCACAATCAAAGGGGTGAACTGCAATTTGATGTCTCACTCTTTTGTGAGTGTATATTGCATATTGGAAGATGGCATGTTTCTACACCCACAGAACACCACTGCCCTACCCTGCACAGAATGGTATAGCCATCTTTGTGTGGAACCCATTCAGGAGAGTGCCTCAACGGTCAACCACCCCAGTAACTTGGAACTGGAAAGTGGTAACGACTCCCATACTTCACTAGAAGAAAGGGGGTGAGAACGTGTTGGGGAGTCTGGATTGAAAAGCAGACCATACAGATTTATTCAATATAAGGCATGGCAGGGATGGGCAGCTATCCCCTTGTGCTTTACCCATGCAGTCTATGGGTGGTATGGTCCAGAATGGGCAAGCTTATGAAGCAATTACATTGCAAGGTTATTCACCTACAAACAATCTTGTGGAACATCCCATCTCAACAGTGAGCATTGCAAAGCCATGGAAGATAAAGCAAAAGTCAACATGACTGTACAGTACAGGTTTCAAGTTGAAGAATACCTGGTCAGGCACCACTCCCCACAGAGGGGGATCCAAATAATGAGCAAGGGCCCCTGAAAGGGAAAGAAAAGTATGAATATAAACTTACCCAGTCAAAGTCACACTGAAACATGAAGAACAGCCAAAGGTGGAAGACGAAAACACGATGAAAAAGAAACCATGATTTGGGGTAAAAATGGGAGATGAATTTATTAGGTGTAATCCACATGACCAACTGTAGGATTTACTCCAATTGCTGATGAAGACGAGATGCAAAGGAAAAGGTAAGATGTTGAATCTGATAAGAAAACACCTGCAACAAATTCAGGAAGAAAGAAAACAATCAAATTGAAAGTCGAACCCAATTGGTGAGGGTAGAAGAGAAAGATCTCAAACAGAAGAAGACTGCCAAGGGATAAAGAGTCTGGAACAGGTACCACAGAAGGAAGCCATGCGAGAAATATAACAAAGAAGACTAGGGACTGAACTAGAATTCTATCCAGATCAAGGCAAAGGTAGATATGAGAAATAAAGGGAAGGGTAATAGGCGAATAGGAGGAGTTACCCCCCTAGCTACCGAGGACTTTAGTAGGAAGGAACAATCTGGATAAATGATAAGATGTAGGGTGGTAAATCGTACATGAAATGTTAATGGCAAACAAATCAGACATTTGACATCCACAGGCTAAGAGGAGAAGGAAAACGTTTTAAGGGAAAGGTGCAACAAGAGGAAAGTGTTTCAAACAGAGGTAAGGTGAGAGAATGGAGGACCACATTAATATCCAAGTCTGGAAGAGTAGACTGCCTGGGGGTATGACAAATCCAGAAGAAATACATTAACATTGTAAGGACAGGGGAAACAAAACTTGACAGTATCAGAAAAAACGAAAGGTATGGGATAAGGCAGAACAATAATCCGAGAGCGAGGAGACAGAAGACCCCTGGTCGAAAAGCCATGTGAGAAACTCTATTACTTGAGCCACAGTAGGTCAGTCAAAACACTTTCCATTTGTGCTGATACACATCCATTAAAGAAGGACATATGGAATGAGCTGAAAGAAAAGTAGGTCAGTCAGAATACTTTCCATTTGTGCTGATACACATTTATTAAAGAAGGACATATGAAATGAGCTAAAAGAAAAGCTACTTGATGAGAGAAGCCTGATCTCCTTGCCAAGGACCGGATAAAAGCCAGGCATGAAGATGAATGACATGAATGGCTGGATGTAGAACTGGTGACCGAAGTTGACAAAGAAGGGTGGGAGACAAAGGAAAAGGTACTGGAGGGAAAAGTTGCAGTTGTTGTAATCGTGGAAACCACAGTTGAGCTGGCCAGTAAGGAGCAATCAGAAGGAATCGACATACAGTGGTAACAATGAGAGAGATCACCCAATGAAGTAATTGGATTGGATGGTAAACACAAAGGAATTTGTGGGACCAATCATGGCTGAAGGCATTGACAAGCAAAGCCTGAGGATGAGGTACCAGGGACAAAAAGAGGGGTAACTTGTGATTGAGGCATGTGGTAAATGCATTTACATGGGGAAAACCCCACTGATTGCAAAGCCACTGGAAAACAAGGGGATTTAAAGACCACTTCATCACTATGAGATGGAAAGCACTTGGAATGTGACATGCAATAAGATGAATGTGGTGTGTGTAAGCCCAATTTATGAGATCCAATGTTTGAAAATAGAGAGATCTTGATCAGGTGCCCCTTGATGATTGATATGTGCTACCACAGTAGAATTGTCAGAATGAATCATCACCAGACAATGTCTGGCAAGACGAAAGAAGTGATTCAAAGCCCAATAGACCATGAGAAGCTCAAGGACATTGATGTCCAAAGCTTTTTTGTATAAAGATCAAGGATCCAAAGCCTCTTGGTGATTGACCCATGCACCCAAGCCCTGAAAATATGTAAATTTTGATTAGGAAAAGGAAGCAGGACACCCACCAATATATGGGCCTTGTCCAACCACCAATGCAGATCATCCATCAGGGTAGAAGAACAGGTAATGGGAGCTGACAAAGGGACCCTGAGCAAGGTTCCACTGATTGTAAAGAGTACACTGAAGGAATCACATATGCACACAACTGAGAAGAACCAGTGAAGACCACATCTACAAAAGCAATAGAACCCCACAAGCAGAAAGTGAGGGAGCTGAAAGGGTGTGGCAAACTAACATTTCCTTGGAACAAAGTTGTAGAGGAGAAGGCTGGCCCTAACTGAGATGAGTGTCAAAAAATACATCCATATGGGTGAGATATTGGGTAGGGTGGAGGAAGGATCTGACGAGTATGGTTGGCTGACTCCACTTCAGAATGAGCTAAAAGAAGCTAGTCATCCATATAATGGTAGAATCACAACCCTAGAGCATGAAGATGGCGAGCAAAAGCTCTCACTGCCCAACAGAAAGCATAAGGGGTGGAAGCAAGCCCAAAGGGTAGGGTGCAAAATTGATAAACCACCCTGTGACAGAAGAACCAAAGATATGGACAAGACTGTGGAAATTTAGAGATGTGAAGATAAGCATTGGCGACATCCATCTTGATCATCCATAAGCCTGGAGAAAATGCCCATGATAAGGTAAGCAATGACTCCATGGTAAAGTGGGGCAGTTGAATGAAGTGATTGAGGTGGGACAAATGGATGACAGGCCTCCAGTCCCCTGTTTTCTTGGGAACAACAAAGAGTCTGGAATAAAAACCTGGTGAAGGATGTAGAACAGGTTTGATGGCCTGCCGAGATAGTAGTTCCTGAACCGCTTCAAACAGATGCTGGCTTGTCATGAGACTTGGAGGTGGAGGGAAAGAAATGAGTATAGAAGACACGGGAGATGGGTAAAAAACGGGATCATGAATCATTCCGATAAAACTTGAAAAACCAAATGATCCTTGATGAAAGGATGCCAGTGATGAAGAAAATTGGCATGCTGAGCTCCCACTGGAGGAGAACCCACCAGGTAGTCACTGATATTGTTGGCGACGTGATGAGCATTGTCAAAGAAAATGATGAGACGAGGCACCCCAAGAAGACAGGACAGGGAAGAGTTGGGAAGGGGGGACAGGAAATGGTAACAGGTGCCATAATGGGCTCTGACTGAGACAAAGGTGCAACAAGGTTGGAAATGGTACACTTTTGTTGTACTGATGCAACTCGTGATTCTAAAGGCTCAGGGATTGTGTCAAAGACATATTACCACAGAAATGAGGCCATACATATATCCCAAAGATGATGGTAAACAGATGAGAGAAACCACGTATGTAAAGCCAGAGCTCAAGACAACAAACGAGCCAACATGGAGGAATGAAGGGAGAGTATGTCCCCAGAAAAACCCTTAGAATTTTGGTGAAGAGCCTCAGAGAGGAGATGGATGGTAGAGAGATATTGTAAAAGAGTTGTGAGGGTAAGATGAAGGCAGGAAAATTGGGCATGGTCAGACTTACAGGAGATTTGGCTGCTGCACCCCAAACAGGCAAAATGGAAAGATTGATATGTAGTAAGGAAGGACACAGTTTATAGGAAATAGGGGAAAGGGATAAAACATCACATACCTGAGAAACGAAATGCAAAAAAAAACATATTAGGTCTAACTGACTTCTCAGGTGGGGCATGGGTAGGCATAGCAAAATCAGCAAGTGGAAATAGGTGATCCAATTCCTCGTCCACCTGTATAAGCTCAGCTTGTTTGGGAGGAAGTGAGGCAAGGTCCAGAGACAGAGATTGTCTAATGTAATGTTCAATCTTCTGGCAAATAAATAGGGATGGATCACCTGCCGCGTCACCCACACCCGAAACATAGTGCTAGTCACAGTTGTGACCCCCAAAGTGGTTTCATGAGCTTTGGAAATCATAATGAGGAAGAGTCAACCAATAATCGAAAGTATAAATAACAATTCAACTGTAATAAACTGGGATTAAAGTTAAGTTAAGAAACAGTCTTAACAGGAACTAGAAGTGAAAATAAATTAAGACCACTCTGTTATTATACTAAAGACGATAGTGAAACTTTAAAGAAACACATCCAAGTACAAGCACTGTCAACCAATTTATTTTACAAATAGCATTTAATTGCAAATATTAGTGGTATTTTCAAGAAATGTTTTGCTAATTATAAATTGGCACATTTCAGGATTGGAGCAAGTTAAGAGCAACGGATATTATTTCAATCATATTTTTTACTAACATTGCTTGAATTTTTTTCAAAATTTAGTGCTATAGTGAGTTCCCTCACAAAATTAACTTTAGTTGAAAATTGCTGAATTAACTAAAACTAATTAGCTAAAAAAATCAAATAAAGTACCAAACCAAAGTTACCAGTTTAAAGAGACCACGAAAATTTTCCTTTTCTTATTAGTTTTTGGATGATTATATTTTTATACAACATTTCAGGTGATGAACCTTTGCAAATGAACAATACCTAAAAATATAAATACTTACGAATGGATATGGGGATCTTGTACTTGTAGCAACTTAAAAGATCCAGGTTCTACAAGATGAAACCACATGTCACTCCTGAAAATAAACTTCCTATTACCAATGAACCAATACAGTTTTTACCAATTATCTTTGCAAAGAGGTAGAGCAGAAAATTTTTTGTTAACAGTATATGTAAAAAAAAAACAAAAGCATTCAAATAGTTAATACATTTTTGGACATAATTCGAAATTATTATAACCTGCACCTTATTAAACGACTTGAAATCCTTAATCATCATATGACACACAAAAATTTACACATTTAGAGGGCTACATTAGATAATTAATATACACTGTATTGTTGAACAATTTTGTAAAAAAAACAGCTTTAAACAATGCACATATATGACAATAAATTGTGTGGCAGCAATAAAACTAAAACCTTCTTTCCTGAATAAGGAAATACAAAACACATTTGTATGACAGACAACATTAAAATATATCAAATAACAGCAGAAAAAATTTATAAAATGCATGTAAAGGAATATATTCATATAGTTTATTGCTTGTTTGTAATTAAGCACAAAGCTACACAATGGGCTATCTGTGCTCTGCTCACCATGGGTATCGAAACCCGGATTCTAGCGTTGTAAGTCTGCAGACATACCGCTGTGCCACTGGGGGGCATTCATATAGTTATGGAAACATCTGGGATGTTTAAAAACAAATGACCAATGATAATTTGTCTTGCATGCAATATTACATACTTTTAAAGCTATTCCTTCTATCTTTTCAGTGTCAAGACAACAAATAATAATTCTGTTGATCAAACATTAGGTGAAATTTAATGTTGTCCATGACATAAACATTATCTGTATTTACATATTTATGGAACTGTAATGATTTATACTCCAAAAGATATTTCTGAAATTATTGCCACCACATAATTTGCTTGTCATATCTCTGCCATTGATTAAAGCTTATTTCTTATCAGAAGGTGGAACATTACAGTGTATCTCACTTGCTATAGCCCTAAGAACTAAACCAGCTGTGTGCATTTTGTGTATATTATTTGAAGGTTGAATTAACAAATCTTTTAATAAAATAAAAGCTGTAATAAATTAAGGTACTATATCTAAATAAAGATTTATTTAAAAATTTCCCTTTAAGCCTTATATTAGTTGTAAATAACTTGGGAGAAATTCTAAAGCTCTAATTAATCTTAAAATAACCTACAAAACAAAATAAAAAACCTGACACACGGTAGAAGACAAAAACACAAACAAGTGCAATATTGTAGATGAGGTATGGTCAATTCATATATACTTTCATAGGAAAACAAAAAACATTTTGTCTCTGATGTTTAATATGTGATATGAGAAGTTCATTCAAAAGTCTTTGTAAGTTTAATACGTGTATATGGTGACATTCATAACACATTAAAATGCACCTTTCTAGCATAAAGCAAGATTTTCCAAAATAATAGAATCAATAAAGAAAAGGGTAATGGGTAGAGGATGACATTTGAACTTATAGTTTCATACATATCAAAGTTCATGGTAAAGAGTTCTTTGATATATTGCTAATTTAACAATATTCTCTCTCTCTTTATTACATACTTATTAGAAGGAAATCAAAATAATGGAACATACCCCAATGAATTTTGATGCATCTTTACAATTTTTTGTAATATAAGCATCAATGTATTATTTAGCAAATATGTGATTATAATGAAAAAATTATAATGAAGTAAAAGACTTTCTTTGTTTTTGGCTTTGTGAAACTGTTCATTACTTCAATATAGTGGTTGTTATGTCAAAGTTACACCAAAAACAGAAATCTTCCCAAATTTCATTCAATTCAATATTCAGTTACATTTCTGTGTATGGTAGTTTCAGTTGTAAAGAAAAATGTCAAAGTTACACCAAAAACAGAAATCTTCCCAGATTTCATTCAATTCAATATTCAGTTACATTTCTGTGTATGGTAGTTTCAGTTGTAAAGAAAAATGTCTTACTAGTAAGCATTACTGGATACTCTTTAGCTCAGTTGGTAAAGCTCTAATATGTGTGAGAGCAGTCATGTGGTCAAATCATTCTTGATGAAAACAAAAGAATATTACAGTATTAAAACTGATACCAAACAAGACTCAGAAATAAGGCTTGAGAACAGTCCTTGTTGTGAAAGGAGACGAATGTGTTAGTTTCAGTTGTTAAAAGAAGTATTTTACTAGCTGTTGTTAGTGAATTAACCTTTTACCTCTAAGTTTGGGTTTCAACTGTAGGACAAGGAAATTAGCCCAAGAAATACTGCCCCACAATGTGAGGCTTTGTTTGTGATAGTGGATTAATGTTGGTAGTTTAAATTATTGAAAAAAGCCTCACTAGCAGTTGCTAGTGTTAACCTTTTAGCTCAGTTGATAAAGCACTAGTTTATACTGCAAGCAGTCCCAGGTTGAAATCCTGCATATGAGAATTTCAAAAGTTGAAATTAACATGAAATGAAGTAGCAATAATTAATTCATCACTGGTGAACAAAAAAATTGGATATGCTGTTGTTTTCCTACACTGAAAATATATTTCCGATAGGTACTTACCTCCGATCATATAAGTTATTCTCGTTCAGTGCTGCCCTCTATATGCAAAATTTTCTCACATACCACAAGCCTTGAAACTTCTACCTACCCGACGATTAACATGGTTCCCTGCATCTCCACATCTATGTCATCATGCAACAAACCTCCATCAATAGACGTACCCCACACACGACTACCTCTATGCTATTCTCTTTAATTATCACTTCTTGTTTGTCAATGCTTGTGTTCAGACGTTTAGTTAGTGCTCTCTTAAAACTTTTTTTTTTTTTTTTACATATTTTCTTATCAATTTCTCTCCACAAGTTTACTATTTATCATACAATTGCGATATTTGTAACTTGTTTCAGAGTGGAATTTTTTATATTTCTACCCAGTTACTGATCTTAATACGTTTTATTTATTTCTGCCCACATGGTTCTGTTTTGGTTATTCATTCTAAGTTACCACTTTAGAGATTACATCTTCTATCAGCACATTTACACGAAAAGTTCAGGTGGTGGTCTTTTATGGGATAGTTTTGGCTTTAGTTCATCAGGAGCTTGATCATCCAATAGGAGTGCGACACCCCCTCCTGATGCAAGTGACTCCCTCTGTTCAACTCTATCTAATCATCATTTCAAGATTAAGCAGAAAGCAAGTTTTAAGTGGGAAGGAGGGGTGGAAAGTGTGACAGGAGGTAAGTACCTATCAGAAATATATTTTCAGTGTAGGAAAATAATAACTTCCAATATGGTAACTTACCTCTTCTCACATAATATCTAGAATCCCACATTGAAAAGGGTGGAGGAACTGTTGCGAATGAATACAGATAAGCATCCTTTGAAAGTGTGAACCCCCATTGGAAGAAGAACACATGTGGGAGACCACACCAATTTTGTATCAGGTATACTCTTTGCCCAGTGTGGTAGTAGGTGTCTCATAAACTGGCAGAAATTGGGAGGAGCACATCTAATGAATGAGAGAAAAAGCTAGGTGGTTCCAACCCCACATCCCATTGAAATTAACAGAATCATAGTCAAAGGTAAGAATGAATGTAAAGCCCCCCAACCACAGATCAGATGGTGGGGAAAACTAAAATGGATGTGCCCTTTGATGTAGAGTGGCTAGGGTGAATCAGAATGTACATGATAGATCAACTCCAGTCCAAAACAAGGCAGCATCTGGCATACATAATCTGACCTAAGATAGGAGAAGGCTACACACCATTTTCACCTCAAGTTGAGTAGGATAGAAGGAGAAAAATTCCATACTGGTGAACTAAACAGGGCACATGTGCACAAATCCACAACCAACACCAGTCATCTGGGAACCTGACATCCAAACAAGAGTAGAAAGGGATGTGCCAATGTGGCAGATCACTTCAATTCCAAAACCAATTGGACCAGTTCTACTCTGCACAACATCTGCCTCAGGCAGTGAACCTCCCTGAGGTGTAGTGCCAGAGTGACAACATTAGCACCACACAATATCATCCTCTCCAGAACCCACTGCATGGAGGTGGAGTGCATTACACAAAAAACCGTGACAATGCGATGACACCTGGAACAAATTGCAGGAAGAATATGCCAGTCTAATAAGCTGATGAACCCAATCTGTAAGGGTAGGAGAAAGGTCATGTAAGAAGGAAAGTTCCATGGAATGAAAAGGTGGGATCAGGAACCATGGAAGGAAGCTGTGAGGGCAATATAACAATGAAGAGCATGGAAGGGACATAAAAGTCTATCTGGATCAGACCAAAAATAAAGGTGGGAAATGGAGAGAAGGGGAATTAGCATGAACTGTTTTGAGCAGGAGAGATCAATCCAGATAAAGGAGAACATATGTGGAATGGAAAAGAGTATGTGAAATGCTGATGGCAAAGATTTCAGACAGCCAATGCCAACAGGCTAAAAGGTGTAGGAAATAAGTCTTAAAGGATAGACAAGACATGAAACAGTAGAATAAAGGTTCAAACACAGAGAGTGTGACACAGTGAAGAACAATATTGACATTCTAATCCGGAAGAACCACCTGACGAGGAAGTCAATAAATCTGGAAGGAATGCAATAAAAGGGAGACAGGAGAAGAAGAAAACTCAACATGATACCTGGAAAAATGGGAGGTGTTGGACATAACCTACAATAGTAAAGGCAGTAGCCCCATGGTCAAACAGCCAGATGATAAAATCCATAATGAGAGGAACAGTGGGCCGAAAAAGGGAAATAACATGGCTTAACAACCAATAGAAGAAGATGTTCTACTGATGTTGATAAACTGCAAGGGAGGAAGGGCAAATCAAACAGGCTAAAAAGGAAGCAATATGCACATACAATTTGGTGTTCCTCACAAGGGATCAGATAAATACCAAGCATGAAGGTAGAGGGTGTGAATGGTGGGATGAAGGACCAGTGACCGAGATTGATGGAGGAGTGAGAGGAAGAGGTAATTGAGAGGGGTAGTTTAGAGAAAAAAAAGAGGAAGGCAAGGTTATGTCACCCAATAAGGAACGATTAGAAGGACCT